ATAGAATAGAATAGAATAGAATAGAATAGAATAGAATAGAATAGAATTAGAATTAGAATTAGAATTAGAATTAGAATTAGAATAGAATATTGAAAGAATAGAATAAGAAATAATAGAATAGAAAATAGAATAGAATGAGAAAGAATAGAATAGAATAGAATAGAATAGAATAGGAAATAGAATAAAATGAGAATAGAATAGAATAGAATAGAATAGAATAGAATAGAATAGAATATTGAAAGAACAGAATAAGAAATAATAGAATAGAATAGAAAATAGAATAGAATGAGAAAGAATAGAATAGGAAATAATAGAATAGAATGAGAAAGAATAGAATAGAATGAGAAAGAATAGAATAGAATAGAAAATAGAATAGAATGAGAAAGAATAGAATAGAATAGAAAATAGAATAGAATGAGAATAGAATAGAATAGAACAGGAATAGGAAATAGAATAGAATAGGAAATAATAGAATAGAATAGAATAGAATAGAATAGAATAGAATAGAATAGAATAGAATAGAATTTAGAATAGAATAGAATAGAATAGAATAGAATAGAATAAGAAAAAATAGAATAGAATAGAAAATAGGATAGGATAGGATAGGATAGGATAACAGAATTGGAAGGGACCTTGGAGGTCTTCTAGTCCAACCCCCTGCTTAGGCAAGAAACCCTACACCGCTTCAGACAAAGGGTTATCCAACCTCTTTTTAAAAACTTCCAGTGTTGGGAGCATCCACAACTTCTGGAGGCTTCTGGAGACAATTCTGTCATGGAATTTGCAAGTACCAGGGAGTCCTTGACTTACAACCACAATGGATCCCCAAAATGTCCGTTCTTTAAGGGAGACATTGGTTAAGTGAGTTTTGCCCCATTTTACGACCTTTCTCGCCAGCCTTATTAAGTGGATCCCTGCACTTGGTAAGTTAGTAACCCGGTCGTTAAGTGAATCTGGCTTCCCTGTTGACTTTGCTTGTCAGAAGGTCGCAAAAGGGGATCGACGTGATCCCCGGGGGACACTGCAACGGTCATAAGCATGAACCAGTTGCCAAGCATCTGGATTTTGATCATGTGACCCTGGGGGGGGGGCTGCTGCAAAAGTCGTTAACTGAAATCTCTTTTTTTGCAGCGCTGACGTAACTTTGAGCGGCCACGAAATGAACCATCATAAGTTTGAGGACTGCCTGAAATATCCTTCCCCCCTCTTACCTCTTCCTGGGCAAGGCCTTCGTTGTTGGGCATCACCCAAGTCAGCAGCTCTTTGGGGTTCAGCTTCCCATCCTTATCCTTGTCGTAATCGTTTTTAAAGCGATCTTCTTCCACCACGATCCATTCGGGATCTTCCTTCACGTCTGAAAAGAAAAGCCGCCCTTTTGGCAAACACCTCCGTGTTTCACTGGCTTTTCCCTTTTTAGCAAAACCCCATTAAAACGTGCCTTTTGCCTCGGGGTGCAGGCTGGGAGACCCTTCTCTAGGGTGGGGGGCTTCGCTAGCAGCGGTGGCTCTTCTGTCCCAAGGACCGGCCCATAGATTTCCACTGCTCTCCTCTCCTCTGCCTTCTGCACATCCGTGCGTCAGGCACTGAACTTGGCTGTTCCTCCTCTTTCTCATCAGCCATCTTGGTGGAGATTACACACACATACGTAGGGGGCGCGGGGGGGGGGGGACATGCATTGCCTTCTGGGTGCTGGCACATGAGTGCGAGTGTGCAAGTACACACACAATTTTTGGCACAGGACCCCCCCCAAAATTAGACACCACTGTTCTAACGGATCTGTTACCCGGATCGTGGAAGTTGAACTGAAATGGCAAGAGTACAGGTAGTTCTCGGCTTACGAGTTCATTTAGTGACCGTTCAAAGTTAACAACGGCACTGCAAAAAAGTTGACATGGCCGTTTTTCACACTTACAACCGTTGCAAGCATCCCCACGGTCACGTGATTGAAATTCAGAGGCTTGGCAACCGGCATGTACTTATGACGGGTTGCAAATGTCCCGGGGGACACATGGACCCCTTTTACGACTTTCTGACAAGCGAAGTCAATTGGGAAGCAGGGTCCCCTTAACGACCATGTTGCTAATTTTAACAACTGCTGGGATTCACTTAAAAACTGCGGCCAGAAAAGTCGTAAAATGGAGCAAACTTTAAAAAACAGAAATGCGGGGGCTCAATTGTGCTCGTGAGTCGAGGATTACCTGTGCCAAGTTAGAGGGGAACCTCAAATTTTGGATCGATTTCTTAAAGAACTTGAGAAGCCTAATTCACAGGGATGATGAGTGGAGTATTTCCCATTTGTGCCTCCTTTTAGATTTTCCACAGCCCCTTTTTTGCTTTTGCTGTTAGCTTTTGTTTCTGCAATCTTGAGCGGTTTAAAACAGTGGTCGCCATCCAGTGGGCCAGGGACCACTGGTGGTCTGCAAAAAAATTTTGGTGGACTGCAGAGAAATGTCCCCCCCAAAGCAATTAATCCAGGCTGCGTGGGAACACAAGGCTGCGCCGCCCATGTGGCCCGTGGGAACACAAGGCTTGCGTCGCTTGCATTGCGAACAGCACGAGGTAGT